GAGATGGAAATGACAAACCACCCCAATTTACTCGCTATTGAGAACTTCATAAACTGCATAAAAGGACAAAAAGATATAATACCAAAAGATGAGTGTTTCCAGGTCTGAAGGTGTCCAATATGCTACCAGGGAAGAGTGGAGGAGAACTACTAATAGCCCCAGAAATAAAGAAACGGCTGGGCCAAAGTGGAAACAACACTCAGCTGTGGATATTTCTGGTGATGAAAGTAAAATCTGATGCTGCAAAGAACAGTATTGCATAGGAACCTGGAATGTTAGGTCCATGAATCAAGGTAAATTGGACGTGGTCAAGCAGGAGATGGTAAGAATAAACATTGATATCTTAGGAATCAGTGAACTAAAATGGATGGGAATGGGTGAATTTAATTCAGATGACCTTTATATCTATTACTGCAGGCAAGAATCCCATAGAAGAAATGGAATAGCTCTCAAATCCACAAAAGAGTCCAAAATGCAGTACTTGGGTGCAACATCAAAGATGACAGAATGATCTGGGTTCATTTCCAAGGCAAATCAATCAATATCACAATAACCCACGTCTATGCCCCTACCAATGATGCTGAAGAAGCTGAAGTTGATCAGTTCTATGATGAACTAGAAGACCTCCTAAAACTAACACCAAAAAAAGATGTTCTATTCATCATTGGCGATTGGAATGCAAAAGTAGGAAGTCAAGAGATACCTGGAGTAACAGGCAAGTTTGGCCTTGGAGAACAAAATGAAGCAGGGCAAAGGGTAACTGAATTCTGTCAAAAGAATGCATTGAGGAGGGGGGACTGGGATGGGGAATACATGTAAATCCATGGCTAATTCATTTCAATGTATGACAAAAACCACTGCAATGTTGTAAAGTAATTAGCCTCCAACTAATAAAAATAAATGGAAAAAAAATAAAATAGTTTTGAAAAGTTCAAAGACTTGAAAAAAAAAAAAAAGAATGCATTGGTCATAGCAAATGTCCTTTTTCAATGACACAAGGGATGACTTTACACATGAACATCACCAAATGGCTAATATTGAAATCAAATTGATTACACTCTTTGTAGCTGAAGATGGAGAAGCTGTAAACAGTCAGCAAAAACAAGATTTGGAGCCGACTGTAGCTCAGATCATCAGCCTCTCATAGCAAAATTCAGGCTTAAACTAAAGAAAGTGGGGAAAACCACTAGGACAGCCAGGTATGATTTAAATCAAATCCCCTATGAATATGCGGTGGAGGTAATGAATAGATTTAAAGGTTTAGAACTTGTAAACAGTGTGCCTGAAGAATTATGGATGAGGGTCCATAATATTGTACAGGAAGCAGTGAACAAAACCATCTCAAAGATGAAGAAAAGCAAGAAGGCCAAGGGGTTATCTGAGGAGGCCTTACAAATAGCTAAAGAAAGAAGAGATGTGAAAAGCAAGGGAGAAAGGGAAAGGTATATCCAATTAAATACAGATCTCCAAAGAATAGCATGGAGAGACAAGAAGGCCTTCTTCAAAGAACAGTGTATGAAACTAGAAAAAACAACAGAAGGGGAAGACTAGACGTCTCTTCAGGAAAATTGGAGATATCAAGGGAACATTTGCCCAAAGATGTGCACAATAAAGGACAGAGGCGGTAGAGAACTTAGAGATGCTGAAGAGATCAAGAAGAGGTGGAAAGAATACACAGAAGAACTGTATAAAAGAGATACAGATGAACTGGATGACTAAGATGGTATGGTCAGCCACCCAGAGCCAGTCATCCTGGACAGTAAAGTCAAGTGGGCCTTAGGAAGCTCTGCTGTTAATAAAGCTAGTGGATGCAATGGAATTCCAGCCGAACTATTCAAAACCCTAAAGGATGATGCCATCAAAGTGTTGCATTCAATATGTCAGCAAATCTGGAAGACCCAGCAGTGGCCACAGGACTGGAAAAGGTCAATCCTCATTCTAATTCCCAAGAAGGGTAGTACTAAAGAATGTGCTACCCATCAGACAATTACACTCATCTCCCATGCTAGTAAGGTCATGCTTAAAATCTTGTATGCTAGGCTTCAGGATTATGCAAACCAAAAACTTCCAGATGTCCAAGGTGGATTTAGAAAAGGAAGAGGAACCAGAGATCAAATTGCCAACATTTGCTGGATCATAGAGAATGCTAGGGAATTAAAAAAAAAAAATCTACCTCTGTTTCATCGACTATGCCAAAGCCTTTGACTGTGTGGATCATAATAAACTGTGGAAAGCTCTTAAAGAGATGGGAATACCAGACCATCTTACCTGTCTCCTGAGAAACCTATATGCGGCTCAAGAAGCAACCTGTATGCAAAAGCAAACCCTGTATGAAACAATTGATTGGCTCAAGATTGAGAAAGGAATACAACAGGGCTGTCTGCTGTCACCCTGTTCGTTTAATCTACTTGCTGAGCACATCATGAGAAATGTTGGGCTGGATGAGTTACGAGCTGGAATCAAGATAGGCGGGAGAAACATCAACAACTTCAGATATGCAAATGATACCACTCTAACGGCAGAAAGCGAAGAGGAACTAAAGAACCTCTTGATGAGAGTGAGGGATGAGAGTGAAAAAGAGCCAGCTTAAAACTAAATATTAAAAAAAACACCTAAGATCATGGCACCTGGCCCCATTAACTCATGGCAAATAGAAGGGGGAATGGTGGAAGTAGTGATAGATTTCCTCTTCTTGGGCTCTAAAATCACTGAGGATGGTGACTGCAGCCATGAAATCAGAAGATGTTTGCTTCTTGGAAAGAAAGCTATGACAGACCTAGACAGTGTGTTGAAAAGCAGAGACATTACTCTGCTGAGAAAGGTCCTTTATAGTCAAGGCTATGGTCTTCCCAGTGGTCATGTACAGTTGTGAGAGCTGGACTATAAAGAAGACGGAGTGCTAAAGAATTGAAGCCTTTGAACTATGGTGCTGGAGAAGACTCCTGAGAGTCCCTTGGACAGCAAGGAGATCAAACCAGTCAATCTTAAGGGAAATCAACCCTGAATACTCGTTGGAAGGATGCTGAAGCTGAAACTCCAGTATTTTGTTCATTTGATGTGAACAGCTGACTCATTGGAAAAGTCCCTGATGTTGTGAAAGATTGAGGGCAGAAGGAGAAGATGGCGTCAGAGGGTAAGATGGCTGGATTGCAGCGCCAATGCAAAGGACATGAACTTGGGCAAACTTTGGATATAGTGAGGGACAGAGAGGCTTGGTGTGTTGCAGTCCATGGTGTTGCAAAGAGTCAGACACGACTGGGTAACTGAACAACAACAATGGATTACATGAAATCATATGTATGTAACTTCTGAAAATTGTAAAGCACAATAGAATTTAAAGAATCTTCCATTCAGTAAAATTTTTTAAGTTAAAAAAAGAACAAAAGACTTAAATAGACATTTCTCCAAGTAAGATATACAAATGGAAATAAGCACATGAAAAGATGTTCAGTGGTACATCAGTTCAGGATCACTGATCATTCAGTTCAGTTCAGTCACTCAGTCGTGTCTGACTCTTTGTGACCCCATGAATCGCAGCATGCCAGGCCTCCCTGTCCATCACCAACTCCTGGAGTTTACTCAAACTCATGCCCATCGAGTCGGTGATGCCATCCAGCCATCTCATCCTCTATCATCCCCTTCTCCTCCTGTCCCCAATCCCTCCCAGCATCAGGGTCTTTTCCAGTGAGTCAACTCTTCCCATGAGGTGGCCAAAGTATTGGAGCTTCAGCTTCAGCATCAGTCCTTCCAATGAACACCCAGGACTGATCTCCTTTAGGATGGACTGGTTGGATCTCCTTGCAGCCCAAGGGACTCTCAAGAGTCTTCTCCAACACCATAGTTCAAACGCATCAAATTTTCGGCGCTCAGCTTTATCATTAGGGAAATGCAAACCAAAATTATGAGATACTACCTCACATCAATTAGGATGGCTGCCATTCAAAAAAAGAACAGAAAAGAAACAAGTTTTGGCAAGAATGTTGAGAAACTGGAACTCCTGTGTACTTCTGGTGAAAGTGTAAAATGGTATTGCCACTGTGGAAAACAGTACAGTGGTTCCTCAAAAAACCACAAATAGAATTACCATACGATCCAGCAATTGTATTTCTGCACATTTACCCAAAAGAATTGAAAGCAAGGTCTCAAAGAGATATTTGTACACTCATGTTCACAACTGCTAAAATGTGGAAACAACCCAAGTGTCCAACAACGAATGAATGGATAAAGAAAATGTGATATATACATACACTGAGATATTACTCAGCCTTAAAAAGGAAGGAAATTCTGACACATGCTATGATACAGATGATGTGATATGATTGGGAATCTGTGTGCCAATGCAGGGGACAAGGATTTGGTCCCTGGTCTGGGAAGATTTCACTAGCTGCGGGGCAACTAAGACCCTGTGCCACAACTACTGAGCCCACACGCAGCAACTACTGAATCCCCCCGTCCCAGCCCTAGAGGTCATGGTTTGTGGCAAGAAAAGTCACCGCAATCAGAAGTCCGGGCAGGGTACAACTAGAGAGTAGCCCCTGCTCACTGCAAATAGAAAAAGCCTATGCACATCAGTGAAGACCCAGCACAGCCAAAAAAAAAAAAAAAAACAACAACAACAACAAAATCAAAACCCATGTTGTTTAGGATAACAAGACTATTTTTTAGCAATGTATGTGGAAGTCTTTTTAAAACGCATACATAAATGAAAGAGATGAGCGAAGCAATTTAGACAGACCTGAATTACACCACAGCTTTCTTTTTCCATATTGTCTCTTTAAATATCCCCCCTCCTACTCCCACCCCCTAAATATCCTTTCTGGTGGCTCTAGGGTGTTTCATGGAGTAATGTAAGTGCCGGGAGCCACAGGCTGGGCAGGAAAGGTTGGTGCAGGAGAGGTCGGTGCAGGACTGAGGGATGGGAGGAAAATAAGGAAGTAGCCGCTTCTCTGCGCGATCGGGTTTCCAGCATCCTCCTTCACCCCTCCCTTGTAAGTGTCTACCTTTTGATGCCCGTAGAGCCAGTGAGTGGGGGGCGAGGGGAAGGCACGCAGGTCCCGAAGCAGCCTCTGCCTCTGCAGGTAGAGCTTGATGGCCTGCAGCAGCCCTAGGGTCAAGCAGAACACCAACGTCAGGTGAAAGGGCCTTGCCCAGTTCGTCTCAAGCCAGGAGGACTCCATCCAGGAGGACGCCATCACTCTGTGTTGCGAGGATTGCCTTGCCGGCCAGGAGCTTTGTGTAGCTGGCTCTTGCGGGAGGATCCACCCACTCACTCTAGGGCAAAGCCCGCCCACTGTTTCTCTGTGCCCTCCGGCAAGATCCCCGCTCCCTCTCCCTCGCTTCCCCCTCTCATTGCCAAGGGTGCTAAGGATGCGGTGAGAGGCGCAGTTCCGCTTGGCTGGAGGAAGCAGGCGCGAGTTACCGGATTTCTTGCTCTTTATCAATGGATGCAAACCTGCATTCAGGACGACTTCTCATGGAGTATCATAGATCATGTGTGACAGTTTTCAGTCACAGAAGATCTGAATCTTAGGTTTTGAAATAATGCCAAAGCTAACGTCGTTGGTTTTCGTCTTTGCCACAAAGCGGTTGTAAACTGCGCTGAAAAAAAGAACTTGTTCCCCCCTGAAATGCTGTCAAAACCCACAAGAGTCTGGGGGCTGGTAATGCGTGAGTAGGATTATTAACCTTATATAGGTACCCTGTCCAGTGGTGTAAGACATTTCTGAAGGTCTTACAGCTGGTTCTCACTCTGATTATTTGCGCTTGCCAGTGTCCAGCAAGTCTTACTTCAAGTCTGCCAGCAGAGGACGCTGAACACTGAGCTGGGAAGAGATGCAAAGTTGCTACCATCATATAGTATTTCCACCACACAGATTCAGACGGGGCCAGTTACAGGATTTGTGGATCCAGGTGCAAGATGAAAATGTGGGGTTCCTTGTTAAAACTTATTAAAAATTTCAAGATGATGACAGCAGAGCATAAACCAAGCACACACCCTTTTGAGTGCAGGGCTTAGATCTCAGGCCCATGAAGCCAGCCCTGGATACAAGAGACATCAGTTCAGTTCAGTTCAGTCGCTCAGTCGTGTCTGACTCTTTGCGACCCCATGAATCGCAGCACGCCAGGCCTCCCTGTCCATCACCAACTCCCAGAGCTTACTCAAACTCATGTCCATTGAGTCAGTGATGCCATCCAACCATCTCATGCACTGTTGTCCCCTTCTCCTCCCGCCTTCAGTCTTTCCCAGCATCGGGGTCTTTTCCAGTGAGTCAGTTCTTTGCATCAGGTGGCCAAAAGATTCGAGTTTCAGCTTCAGCATCAGTCCTTCCAATGAATATTCAGGACTGACTTCCTTTAGGATGGACTGGTTAGATCTCCTTGCTGTCCAAGGGACTCTCAAGAGTCTTTTCTAACACCACAGTTTAAAAGCATCAATTCTTTGGTGCTCAGCTTTCTTTATAGTCCAACTCTCACATCCATACATGACTAGTGGAAAAACCGAAGCTTTGACTAGACAGACCTTTGTTGGCAAAGTAACGTCTCTTCTTTTTAATACGCTGTCTAGGTTGGTCATGTCTTTTATTCCAAGGAGCAAGTGTCTTTTAATTTCATGGCTGCAGTGATTTTGGAGCCCCCCAAAATAGTCTGTCATTGTTTCCCCATCTATTTGCCATGAAGTGATAGGACCAGATGCCATGATCTTAGTTTTCTGAATTTTGAGTTTTAAGCCAACTTTTTCACTCTCCTCTTTCACTTTCAAGCGACATAATTATTAATAATCTCAAGAGCATAGATAATAGTAAAGTATAGTAAAATTAGAAAATTATGCATTTTCTTGCCTGGAGACTCCCAGGGACAGGGGAGCCTGGTGGGCTTCTGTCTATGGGGTCCCACAGAGTTGGACACGACTGACGCAACTTAGTAGCAACAGTAGCAGCAGTACTTATTAATCATCAGATATGGGCCTCATTGGTGGTTCAGTGGTAAAGAATCCACCTGCCAATGTAGGAGAGGCAGGTTCGATCCCTCGTTTGGGAAGATGCCCTGGAGAAGGAAATGGCAACTCTCTCCAGTATTCTTGCTTGGGAAATCCCATGGATAGAAGTGCCTGGTGGGCTACAATCCATGGGGTCACAAAGAGTCAGACACAACTGGGCGATTAACACAACAACAGCAAAACCATCAGGTGGTAAACTAGGATTCAAGAGACCTAATTTCTCAAGCTGCTGTCCCTCACATGTAGCCTTCTTTTATACATCTATTTATTTATGCTAAAACAGGCAAATGTAAGGTGTTGGACTCACAGCCCAGAATAATAAACCCAGTCTCTGCTGCAACTCCCTACTCCCCTCTCCTCAGTACCACCCACTCCTCAGGCTCCCACCCCAGTCTCTGGAGCCAGGTTTTACTTGGCAAGGTAACGGTTAGGACAGACTCCAGTGAAGACAATTTCACCTGGACCAAGTGCTGGCCCCTCAAATCCACTGTGCACCACACATGAAGTGTTTCAGTTGCCTCTTCTCAGACCTTACCACCTCCCACCTATCTCTATCTCTCAAACAGAAACTGCTCTTTAACAGTGTATCAGAATCTGCTGGTTTACAATCTCTCCTGGGAGATTCATGGCATTTTTATTTTTCCGATTCTTTCTCTGTGCCCTGCTCTTTCCCTAGAACATGGTTAAGTGTATGGTGGCCTTCATAAGACTGCATCATAGTGGTCTGGCTGAAGACCTCAGATTCACACCTAGGTGCTGGGTAGTCTCACCTTCATGAGATCTAGTCTGGTCTGGTCCTTGGGTTGGTGAACTTCTAGTTAGTTCTCTCAGCAGGGTCAGGGCCTGAGGACACCTTACCTGACCCAGTCCCACTCAGGCTCTTGCTGAAAGTGTTAGCTCTCTGAGACCTAGCCAGCCTAGTTTCAGCATTCCATGTCTTTCCTTGCAGAACAAAGGAACGTTGGGCTTTTTACCGATATACCCTAAGAGGCATGAGGGTGCTAGCTCAGGCTTTCTTTCTCCTTCACTGCCAGTTTCATTCTGCTTCCTCCCAAAAAGGAACTCTTGTGCTATCAACTTTTCTGTCATCTATCCAAAACTTGCCTTCCCTCGATTTTAGCCTAGATGAGAGAAATTAGTTACTCTCCTGACCACTGGCTTCCTGACCTCTGCCCATTCTTTCCCCAGCCCAGTAGGTTGGAAGAGGTGGCTTTTCCACAACCTCCATTTCATGTAGGAAGAACTTTCCTTATGATGTTGCCTGTGTTCTGTCTACCTTCAATTGAGAGTGAAGATCTACCATTCACTCCAACAGTGGGGAAGTAGAGAAATTTAGAAATTTGTTCTGGCTAAAGACTAGTTTTCCATACTTACTGGCACTCAAAAATCCCATTTTAGGGGAGCAGTCCCTTCCTTCTATTGGCATTCTTATGCAAATAGCCACTGAATTAAATTTCCTCAGCTGCAGTACAGGGGACAGGGGTCATTGAAAAAGCCCCCAGCAACATAGATAATGATGCTTGGCAGGTCCAAGTAAGTAAGGACTTCAGGCTTTGCCTGGGACATAAGAATCCACTGAAGGGATTTAAGATGGAAAGTTACATGGGTTAGATAGTAGAGCACTCTGATGACTATTTGGATGATAATAGCAGGTAAATATTTATTGTGTGCTTACTGAATGCCAAGTACTATTCTAAAGTGATTTAGAAGTCGCAGCTTATTTAATTATCAAATTAAAAATCTGAGATTGGTATTAGCGTTTTACATATCCTCATTTTATGTATACAGAAACTGGGACACAGAGAAATTATGCAATTTGCCCAAGGACACTAGAGGGTAAGGAGACCATCCCAAGAATCCAGGTCTCAGGATCTTAACATTTATGGGAACAATTTTGTGTGTATCTAAAAGGATATGGGTGTCCCAGGTGGCTCAGTGGTAAAGAATCCTCCTGCCAATGCAGGAGACACAAGAGACGCAGGTTCGATCTCTGGGTCAAGAAGATGCCCTGGAGAAGGAAATGGCAACCCACTCCAGTGCTCTTGCCTGGGAAGTCCTATAGATAGGAGCGTGGTGGGCTCTAGTCCATGAGGCTGTGAGAGTTGGACACAACTTAGGGACTAAACCACAAAAATAGAGGGATATAGGACCTGAACTAGGAGAACAGTTCAAATGCTATTGTGTTCAGGTAAGATGTGAAAATGGCCTGGACTGCCAGTATCATGGGACAGAGAGGCAGAATGAGTGGGAGAAATACTGATGTATTTTTTATGGGGATTGGTAACTGACTGGATGTGGACACAGTAGGGAAGAAATCTAGGATGATCCTTATGTTTCTTTCTATTCTTGAGATAGACAAAGCAAGAAGAATTAATATTCCCTAATGTCCCTCTTCCCGGACACCCCCCAATCCTTGTCCTGTGTGTCTTATGCTTGTCTCAAACTCATCTTCAAGATTCACTGCCTCTATAAATGCTTCTCTAACCAGCCCCAGCCCGTGGGAATCTATCCTATGAACAATCAACACATTCATTTTTATTTATTTTTTGTTGCGCTGGATCTTCATTGCTGCACGCAGATTTTCTCTAGTTGCAGTGAGTGAGGTCTACTCTTCAGGCTTTTCATAGGTTTTTCACTGCAGTGGCTTCTCTTGTTGTGGAGGACAGGCTCTAGGTACACAGGCTCAGTAGTTTAGCACATGGGCTCAGTAGTTGTGTCTCTCAGGCTCTAGAGTGTGGGAGCTCAGTAGTTGTGGTGTACAACCCCAGCAGCTCCACACCATGTGGAATCCTCCTGGACCAGGGATTGAACCCATGTCCCCTTCATTGGCAAGTGGATTCCCATCCACTGTACCACCAGGGACGTCCCAACACATTTTTATAGCTTTCATTTGACACTTTGCTCATGCTTTCATTTATTATGCATTTCAAATCACCAATCCTATGCAGTCTCATTATGTATTCCTCATTATGTACCTGTTTATATATGCAATTTGCTTTCCTAATGAGGTTTTAAACTCTATAGTGGTTCAAATATTGTTTTTTTCATCTCTTGGATTCTCTTGGAGCCCAACTTTGGGCTAGACACACAGTAGATGTTTTAAAAATAGTTCTTTAATTCACTTGAACTAAGGAGACATGTGGGGGAGGGGGAGATTTAGGAATGAGTAGAATGAGGAAT